CAGGAGGAGAATCACAAAATCAGCAACAACAGTCCTGGTCCTACTGTAAGAAGCCAGCTGCATCTATACTCAACAGCTGAATATCAACAGATATTCAGAGCTTGCAGCAGTCAGTGAAGACAGAAAGGTAACCTGGTTTCCATAATCATCCTTTCTATATCAGAATGTATACAACACAAACGCACCCACACCCTTGCACATACATACATGAATCACTTTAGTCTCAAACATATTTCACATACATGTGTGTACATATATATTTCTCTAGACTAAACAGATGACAAATAATACAGTCCGAGACATTTATTTGATGCTGTTCCCATGTCTTATTTTGTCAGTATGCAGCAGAATGTTCTACTGAAAACAGAGTACAGAAGTTCCTAAGGACAGGAGTCAATAGACTGTGGATGTTTAGAAGAGAACTGGAGAAGATATAAGACAGTGAGACAAATGCATTGGATGTAAATCTCTGTGAGATACATCACTCAGCTGCAAACCAGCTGACAACATTTGATATTCAGGTGTCACAGCTAACAAAAATTGTTTTAACAAGGCAATTTGTTGCTTCCAAAAGTTGAATTATCCAGAAAATACTACTGAGTCAGTTATTCAAGTCATGTTTTAAAAGCACTTTTCCCCTTTGCTCTTCTACTTTGAGAGCTTGTTACATATTTATTCAGTTGAAAAATAATTGAAATTAACAAGGTATTTTGTTAAAGGTTTATAAGTAAGAAAGTATGAAGTATTAATCTTGAAAAGATGTGGAGCTTTCTAAATAAATAACTTCTTGAATGATATTCCCATACAATTTCTAACAGACTAATGAGGTAAACAAAAATATTGTAACAGGTCTTTGATTTTCACAGTTGTCCCTGTACTTTCAGTGTATGATTATAGATTAAGTACAACATGGAAGAAAGAAAAATAATTTAACAATTCTGTGCCTAAATCCACATTAGAATTTTAAAATAGTAAAGTCTTAAAATTCTTTTAAGTCCTCAGATTGTATTCATTTAACTTAAATTAATTTTAAATTAATAGAAAAAACAAAGTTCTAGATTGCACAAGGCAAAAATTTTTGAAAATTTTTTTGTCTGCAATTTTTTTCAAATAAATCTCTGGACAGGGATTTATAGTTTTGTGATAAGTAACCTCGATGTTTCAGGTTAAGACGACATTATTCAGTGTCTCTTACTGATTTTTAAATTTCAGATTGGGGATTGCAAACCCCCTCCCATTAACAACTGGGATTATAAATTCAGTTTTCACCTGACTATCCCCAATTTAGGTGAATCAGAAATTATAAATCAAAGATACAGTATTTCCCTAACACAAGTAAAAGAGTCGCAGCTAAAATACAAAAGGAAAAAAAGAAGTCTAACTTGACAGAGCTTAATGAGTAAGGTACTAGTATCTCAGGGGGAGGCAACTAAATAGGGTGATTACTCCAAAATGTCACACTGAGGTCTCGCAATTTATGAAAGCTGAATATTTAGATTAAATTTTTAAGTGATAGGCATAATGCTGTATTTAGATCTTTGAATTATCTAAACAATTTCAAAGTGTTACAGCTATTAATTTGTTTCAAAATTAATTTGTACAATATTATATTAAAAGAATTTATTTTTTTAAATTAGAAAAGTATGCAAAGTGTAGTTTGTAAATAACATCTTTAAGGAAAAGAGAAAATAACAGGAGAAGGTCTGCTATTGCTGCTGCTTTTTATGTGATTTCAGATGCATTATTGGGTAACTGGAGTTACAGACGTAAGAATGTGGTTAAGAAAGATAATGAGTAAGCATAAGTACTAAAAATTGTAGGTAATGACCAAATTTTTAAATTGAAAAATTGTAAGAAATTCTCATCAAAAAACTGAGAAAACAAAGATCAGCAGAAAGAATAATAATTCATATACTGCTGTGACAAAAACACAAAATAAAGATCTGACTATTACTGTATAATGGTCATTGTAAACTACTTACTAGTATTGTACATGGGATGGATTATATTACATCACCTCTCAGATATTATTTCATGTTTTCAGCAGTGAATACACCAGACAAGCCAAGTCATAGAAGACTGAAAAAACCCTCAAGCCCAAATCCTCCTGGCGTATTTGTTAGCATTAAACCTATGTAATACAACCTGAAGTCTCTAAAATTTGCCAACATCAGATATTCAGAATTTGTCAAGTGTCAAGAACACCACCACTACTCTTCCTCAGATACTGAGCACCGTCACAGGTAATCCCAATGCAAGTGAATTTTAACAGCATCCCCTCAAAATGAGCTCTAGCAAAAACAGAAAATGAAAACAGCAAAGGACAACCAAACCAGAGTCTTAGAAGAAACTCTCTCATGGAAGATGACAAGGGACTTTCCATTTAGCAGATAAGCACAGCACAACCTCAGCCAGCAACCACATTACATCTTTCTGATTTACCTCCCATGTCCACTGAGATCTTGAAATGGAAATACAGGTCTTGTAGCTAGACCCAAGTGGAAAGAAAGTGTGAAAGCTGTTCAGTTTATTGAGGGTGGTGGGTATTTCACCTGAACAGACCAAGACTCCAGCCATCTTCACATAATTTTCTAATCTTTTCATTCTGACACCTGCTGTTTCCTCCAGTCTACAGTCCCAGTACATTACATGAACTCAACCAGAAGAAACCAGTTACCTTCTCAGGGGTGAGTTTGCACTTCTCTCTTGCATAATCTCAGATTTGACATTTTGCATAGAGAGAGATATTCTCAACAGTGGGGAAAAGTAAGCAAGAGAAGTTACTGCTGGTGTGAAGCAGAAGTAAGTTTCAACCCTCTCCAAATGTTCTTGCTCTGCCAAAGAGCATCCACACAGACTCAGTGGGATGGAACTATCTAAAGAAGATGGATGGAGGCCAAAAAAATATCTGAAGCCACTAGAGAGGATAGAAAGATGCATTTGGGAAATAGTGAGGCTTTGATATCAGAAAGATATTAAAAAGCTGTATTATGATTGAAAGGCCTGGGTTTAGAAGGAAGACCAAGCTGCTCAGGACAGCAGTTTGAGCTGCTGCTACAGCTACCTGGGAAGGACTGAGGAGTTATAATATGCACAGTCTTTTGCAGGCAGATATGAGCTTATCTAGCACGAGCTGCCCAGAAGCCATTCTGCTGTGAGAGCAGCCCACAAGCGCTGGCTAGGAAGCCTTGCTGCAAAGCCGTGTGTGTTCCAGAGGCAACGTACCCTTCTGCCGCGGCCCCAGTCCTCAGGCTCACCCGGGCTGCAGGCTACTGTAAGCTCACATCAGTTTGCAAATGGGCGTGCACACACACTCACAAGGAAAAAAACAGAAAGAAGAAAGATTTCAAGACCAGTGTGCAATGAATCCATCAACTAAGAGGTAGGAAAAACTGAAGTTTGCAGGATCAGGGATGAGCATTGGTTGCTGAGAAGCAGTTGAGAAAAATTAACAGGAAGATGGAGCTTATGGTGAGGGGAGAGCAACACCAGACAGGCTCACTCAGAGAGGGGACACTGTGAAGCCCCAGATTTGTACCAGAAGTTTCTTTCAGAGGCAACTCTTTAACTGAGACACGTTTAATACTGGAAATGTGAGACTTCTAAGGTAGTAAAGGTCTTCATGTAACACCTTCTGTCACCTCCTAGCGATTATGGCAACTTTTTTTGGTAGCGATTTGAATTCAATGCAACACAATTATATCAAACTCTTTTCAAAAAAAGTCAAAACAACTCAGGTACAAACACCTGGCTTCAGTCACATGCCCCAAGATAGCTGGTATTCACATAATCACACCTGGGTTGCAGTCCAATACTGCACTACTGCATTTAATTCCATATTTGCAATATGGAAATTATTATCTTCTATCTTTCATTCTCTACTGATTGCATATAAACTGTCAATAATATTTATTGCCTTTTCCCTTAACTTTTCAAATATAAATTTGGAAAGGGGGACATTCCATTTGATGAAAGAGCACAATGACAAAAAGGTGCTTGCTACAGATACATTAAAAATATTGCTATTTTACTTTGCCTCCTATCACTTTTTTATTTAGCTCTTTAATGTGTATCTGCTTTGGATGCAGCATACAACATAGATTGCCTTACTGACACTTACTATTCACTATGTTATTTTCTGTGATGTGTGTAAAAATATTAACTAATCTATTTTCATATCTCTGGGACAGATTATTTTCTCCAATGTACGTGGAGAAAAAAAATCTACACTTAAAAAAACCTGCCTATTTTCTTAAAACATTTCACAAGAATGATATGCATTGCAATTCAGAAATTGCTATGACTCTATCCTTTAGTTAGTCAAAACTGAAACTCTTCTTGCTCATTCTACTTTCATTCTCCCATCTACAGTGACTTTTAGGAATGGACAGATCAAATTGCACATATTTATATAAATGCACCTTTGCATTGCATATACAAGTTTGGCATTGAAACACAAACATAAATAGTTATTATATTTTTTAAAGATTTATTTAAGTATTTTGGTTGAAAAATGTCAAATTGATTGGTCTCTTATTGAAACTCTCATCTTCCCAGAGCATAAAAAAATCTACTTATATATTTACCACAACTCCAGCAATGGCATCTGGAACCTTTAAGACATGTTACTTTTTGTGAACATCTTAATTATTCTTTGTACTGATTAAATTTGATGTAAGAGGTAGAACATATTGACTTTATTTTAGTAAATGGGGGAATAAGACAAACCTACAAGAGAGAAAATATATGTAATATACAAGCTTGGATGAAAACAGCTAAGAAAAACAGAAAACCCCCAACAGTCCTTCTAAAGATTGTTTTTTAATGACCTGAAGCTTGTATTCTAAATAATTTCCAACTTTGGGTTTACATCACTGAAAGTCGTCATCTTTCTTGACGGACAAAGCAATTATTTAGTTCATAGATGTTTAAGAATAAGGAATAGCAATTCAAACAAAAGCAAGATGATTAAGGCAGAGCACAGGTTCTGAAGTACTCACCGTAGGCACCCAGTGGCATTGCGCAGCACCTGTGATGAATGGAGCTGTATTTTATGATCATCCTGGAGTGGAGAGTTTTCCCATCCAGAGTGAGGGATGATCACTGCATTGGTCAACACTGCAAGGGCATCCTGGATGATTGGCATTTTCAGTGCATCACAGGAGGAGAGATTCCAGAGAACTCCTACAAAAAGTAAAATGACTAATAATTAACACTTCTCCAAAACAAGTTTGAATGGTTTTTTTGTTTAAAAAAACCCAATCCAAACCAATATATTTCACAGCACTGGTGTGTTTAATTTAGCTGTTTCTGTGAAAAATAAAACAGACTACATTGTAGATGGGGCTAAATCACACCTGCAAACTTTTGAATATGAAACATGTAGACACAGGAGCACTGGAAATTTCTCAGAGCTCTGCCTAAAAACTGAGCAGCTGGTTATGATCTAGGCCTACACAGGCTGTGAAGCACACATGGAATGAAGGAGTATTACAAGGAATTTTTTAGGGCTTGGTCTTCAGATAACTTCCTTCTAAGTAAATTTAATAAAAACTGGTAGCAGAAAACAGGTTCTGATTCACACTAAAACTTTCATTGTTGATAGAGAGAACAAAACTTCCACCCTGTGATCATCACTGTGATGGAAGTAACTGTCTAGGTTTGCTGGTACTACAAGCAAAAAGACCTCCTCCACAACCTGATACAGTAGTACTTGAAGCAAGTAATATTATATTTTGTAAATATTTAGCTATACAAATTAGAGAATACTGTAATTTTTACATGGAAACAGCGAGCTCAATGGTGCAAATAAGAAGGAGATTTACTGAAGTTTAAAAAAACCAAAATCCCTTCTGTTGCAACTTGCAATGTGCCAAAGAAGAAGAGGAGAAATCAAAAGTTTTCTAAGCACATCTACAAAGATCAAGGTCACTGCTGTTGGAATCCATAAAGTTAGAGGGTTTTTAGGAAATGGTTAAAAAAGTATAGGCCTCAGACTGAAGTTTTGTTAGCATTGCAGACACAGCAGAGAAGTTTCCCAAGCAGTAGAGCATACGTGACAAATAACAATAGGCCTCTGTAGAATTGGCTTTAGGATGGCAACAAGGTTATTTAATGTATATCTTTAGAAGGTTAGCATGAATAGAGCTCTGTTCTTTGTCTCTTATGAACCAGTCTTTGTTTTAGCTACCATTACGTGTGTTTTATAAGATTGGATAGAATGCTTGTCAATATGTGTTTTCTATGTATGATTGGCTTGGATAGAATGCTTGTCAATATGTGTTGCTCTATGTATGACTGGCTGAAATCTAGACTGAGATGGTTTTATGCCATTCTGTAATACCCCACCTTCCTTGGCATTCCCTGTGGATCAGCGAGCTCTTAACATCCTGTCTCCATTGTATAGCAATGTTTTGAGACTGATGTGCAAATAATAAAAAAGGCTCTTCACTGGTCTGGTTTGTCCAGTGTTGTCCATATCTGGACGTAACTGCTGCGGCAAGTGGGTTCCTTTTTTAAGACGCGGGTTCCTGACACAATTGGACATATATACCCCTCCCCCGCAACTGCAACTGGGCCACACAGAAGGCAGGCAAGAAATTGTCAGGAGCAAAAGACACCCTGCTTTCCATTCCCATATTTATGTATTTGTGTATTTGCTGGAAAAGCACACGTGACTTTAGTGCTGTGCCAAGCACCTGTTGCTGCTGGGCAGCTCTTACTGCTGGGGGAAGCTGGAGGACAATTTGCTGTTCTGAAGAACCAGTGGCCTTTATTTTAGCTCAGCACCCTCCCAGGAGTAGCTGGAAGAGGAAGCTGCCTCATCATGCCCCTCCCCTTGCCAACATGCCTCCTCTTCTGCAGAATCCAATCCTACTCCGCCCTACTCTCCTTCTCAAAGGACAGTAGCCTGGCATCATATCTGACCTTGAGGGGCAAAATTGAGTTTTGATTTTACATCTATCAAAGTTTTCAACCAAAAGAGAAGAATTACTACCATCATCATCATTGTATATAGGTTACAAATACAAACACTACAAAAAAAACAAGTGAGTGTTGTGGCAGGAAGGCCATAGGAACACAGACTCAGTTATTTATAAATACAAGCAGCAAGAACACTACTTACTCAAGATTTTCCTTAGCCTTCTGTGCTTTGACAGAGCAGTGTAATTAACAGGAATCAACTTACATTTCTGGATTTCCCTTTAAAATTAATTACCTCTATGGGGAGACTGTTTCAGTATACTGTTTCATGTTTAAATGATTTTACATGTAACTATCTGCAAAGGTAGTTACACAGTTAATATAAAACTTTGATCAGTATACCAGTAAAAGAAACCCTATTAGCATGATCTGCATGAGGCAGACCAACTTCAGCTACAGACAAAAAACACCAGAAACAGGAAAAACGTTCATTTTAATAATATTAATTTTTTCATTAAGAATTGCTACTTTAAAGCGAAAAGAGTCTTTGTTTGAATTCTGTTCTGAATGTCATTATGAAAAGGAATTCCATATTTAAAGGAATAAAGATCTTCATAAGGATATTTAAATTTCCTTTTCTATGTGTTCTTGCTCTTGGAAAGCTTTAATGGCACATCTACTATTCCTGTAATAACTAACATTGGTATTTTGCTGGGTTTTGTCAGTAAAAACAACAATGCAGTTGCCTTTTTTTTTATACATTTATCTAGACAGGTGTAAATGATGTGCATGGTATAAAAGCAGAGAATCAGAATACAAATCTTTCCCCCTTTAAAGTTCAATTAAGTCCTTATGCAAGACAATAGGCTGTAACTTTGTAAAGAAGTCCAATTTTAAAAGTGAAGCAGAAGAGAGTATTTTGATGGCAACAAAACAACATTTTGTGTTTCAAGAAGCAGTCATGAACTGGAAAAGCAGAAAAGAATACAAAACAAGCAAACATAAGAGCCCCATCTAGAAAAATGCCTAAAAACATGTATGTCAAAACTATTTTCTATTCACTTCAGATTCTTGCTAATTTAAAGTAAACTCACATAAACATATGGTATTCAGCAATAGCTGAGCCTAGAAATATTCTTTCAACCCTCTTTTTCTCTGATTTCTCTAACTGGAAAATTAAACCTTCAGAGTAAGAGGATGATGGGATCACCAGGCTAAAATGTCTATTACACCTTCTCCTAAAATGATTTCAAGTCAAGGCAGAAGTGAGCAAAATTTAAGTCAAGGCAGAAGCATTGCCCAGTAAGCCTGATGCCCTCTTCCAAGTTTTTACTGCTCACAGTTTAAAAGAGTGAGATAATCCTCTTCCCTCCAGAACAATGTGTTTTATCTAATTGTGAGACTGAATACTACCAACCACATTAACCAAAAATTTTCTCCTGACATGTTACAATTTATTCTCACAAGCAGTGCAGTCTGCTACATGCTGAGGTTGGCATTCTACACACCTCCTTGTAATCTTCTTAATTAAGAATTTGCAATTAAGAAAGGGCACTGGCAATTCACTTCTCACTCTTTTTGCTGAGGATAACCTGGAGCTAGATTTATGTGGGGTCTGAGAAGATGATCTATTGCTTTGACTTTTCAAGGGAGAATGACAATAAAATAAATCCTTTACCTAATACACCTTCCATTCCAGAGCCACCTTTTCACCACATGATTCTGGACATTATTTTCCAAGTGTCTATTCATGACATGCCTTTAGGGCTACTGTAAGAAGCTTCCAGGATACTCTGAAAGCCCTGCCTGACCTGGGTTTCTGAGCACAAGAAGCAACTCTGCAATAGCCTCAGAGTGCCTTGACTGACCCCTGGAGAATGGGCATTGCCATCAGCTGCTCACAGGAAGGTAAGGGACTGGACTCACCAGTGGCCAATGTCAAAAAGTGGGATCCACTCAACAACCCAACAGTCCAACCCAACTGTTTACCACCCACAGACCGACTCTTGTGAGAGGTATGAAATAAAGAACTAATCAGTGTTGAACACCTCTTAATCACTTTCATTCCTATCTTATCTTCTTCTTGCTTTTAAAGCTGTGAGGCATTCAGATTAAGCATTTTGTGTCCCCATTTTCAGATCACTTTTTGGTTATATTAGAAGACTTGTAGAAAGACAAAAAGAGCTACACCAGACTGAGCAAGTCTTTTTGCAGGTTGAGGTTTTTCATCCCTACATATGAAAAATGGAAATACAGTGAAAAAGTATATTGCAATCACATTTTAAACTTAAAACTGAGGGGAAACTGGTATTGAAAATATTCAGTTCATTCCAGTTAGATGATGAATTTTGGGTCTGAGTATTATTCTAGCAGACATCAGATGAAGGATTCTTAGAGAACACTATAGGAGTGCTTATTCTGGAGATCTTACTGCATCAAGTTGCATATTCTGGGGCAGTTTATCAGAGGTCATGCAACTGCTATGGCCAATGGGTTGCTCAGTTTATTGGAGCAGTCAGAGTGAAAACCCCATAATCTCTGAATCAGGCTGGAGCTCAAACTCATGGTGATTAAACACTTCAATGCATTTTTGTGCTGGTGTTTTAGTTAAAACTGGTATATATATCTATAGTCAGATATAACTGAAGACCTGATAAGCCACATGCTATCCTTATTCCATTCAAAGTTAAGAACATAGAGATCACAGACATCTATGCAAAAAATACCATCATAGCAAGAGAACATTTGCAAAACCACGAAAGTCTAAACAACTAGTTAGCTCATGATTTAATGCAACCTCAAATTATGACACATATAAAAAAACAAACCTATCAGAACAACTTAAGACTACAAATATAAATGGAAACCAAGAAACTGGAAAAGTCATCTTTTCCAAAAAGTATCGCCCCTGCCACTATGTTTTTAAAAATAAATTATATGGTAAAAAGATTGTAAGTAAACAAATACTGTTTGGAGAAACAGGACTGATTCTTTTCAATATGGGATGTTTAAGTCAACTTTCATCTTCTCTGTAAAAATCCAAGAGTATTCTAATACATCCAGGTTCTCCTTTTCCATGATAATTTAATAGTTTGGTCATGGAATGATGCAGAAATCGATTTGATATTGCTGAGAGACTGCATCCCACAAATAGAGACCAAAGCATTGGCAGGCATTTTTGTTTATATGCTGAAGGCACAGAAATACTACTGGGAGTTTCCCTCACAAACATGACAATTAAGATTGAAATCTGAGTGCTA